TCTGCCTACAGGGTGCATGAAGAAGAGAAATGAAAATAATCAGTGGGCGGTCAGAATGGAACTGCACATTCGTACAGGCACAGTTTTGCATTTCACATTTTAGTCTGCATCCCCTATACAGATAACTGTGTTAAGAGCTGTGGCTGCAAACGAAAAAAAGGTCAGCAGTCCCAAGCCACCAGCCGTTCCTTGGAAGTCCTATGGGGCATTCTACTTTGTCCTGTAGGGTGACTATGAGTTGGATCGACTCGACGGCAACAAGTACACGGACAACTCCAGCCGTTCTTAATTAAATTGCTTAAATTAAATTCCAATTTCTGAAGACGTTCCTGATCCAACCACTTCCGCATATCGACCCCACCGAGGTCTCAGGGCCCTGACTCCCGACTCAAAACCGCCTCACCCGCTCCAAAAAATACTTCCGACTTAAACCGTTTTTAAGTTATTATGAGGAAAACATTGTAGTTTCCAATGTGAATTGTAAGTCCCACACAACTCTTACCTTTCTTTAGTACCTTAAATTGTCTGAAACACTAACTTAAAATAGGCAGAAAACAATCCTTCTCCACGCCACACTAAAGACATTCAGGGGGTTCCAAACCTCGGAAAAGGAGATATCTAGGAATCTAAGCAAGAAGCCCTGGTGGCACCGTGGTTGAGCGCTCGGCTATTAACCGAAAGGTCAGCGGTTCCCTCCAAGGAAGAAAGATGTTGCAGTCTGCTTCTATAAAGATTACAGCCTTGGAAACCCTATGGGGGCAGTTCTACTCTGTCCTGTAAGATCACACTTTGAGTCCAGACAACTTGATGACAACAGTTTAGGAGGAGGGAAGCACCGCCCCGCCTGCCCACTGCTCTTGGTCCCTTCCAAGCTGGCCAGTCTACTTGCCCGCTCCCTTACAACGTGGCCCCGCCCCACGCTGTTGCGTCTCTAACCGCCAGGCGCCTGCGCAGTTTACCGCAGACGCAGAAGCAGGTTGTGTGGAGGGAATGTCACGGTGAGGTGAGCTTCAGACTTTCTGGTTTAAATCTGCGCGTCGCGGTCCCGGTCCTCCACACGCGTGCCCGGGGGTCTCTCCGGACGCTGAAGTCCCCCCACCCGTCCTTCCCACCCCCAGAGATCACGGCGCGACCGTAAGACGTTCCGACCCCTGGTCGCTCCGCCGCCCGCCGGGGATTCGCGTCAGTTTCGGGGTAAAATCGCGCTGAGGCGGGTCCTCGCCCCTGCCTTTCTGCCCTCGGGCCGTGCATACGCCGCCTGCCGCGTCGTTTTCCAGCTTAAAACCCTTCCCTGACCCCCGCCCGCCTGCTCCGGGTCAAGTCCTCACCGGGAGCCTCTGGCGACATCCCGCCCCTCCCTCTCAGTGTCGCCCCTGGAGGGCAGCGCGTGCCTTCCGTCCTCTCCTGGTCCTGGAACTCTGAGACCCCACCCCTCTCCGGAGACCCGGACCTCGCGTCTTCTTACATGTAAAGCCCACTTAGCTGCTGCCCTCCTATCAGCAGCTTACTGCCGGCACAAGCGGCTCTGCTGCTGGGCTTCTCGCCACCGACTCTGCGACTGGACCCTTTTGTCCCTTTCTGTTGCTGGGCCCCTCTATACCTCTGCCCTGCTTTCTCTCTCCTTCTCCCCGCCAGTCCACCATGCTGTCACCACTGTTAACAGCTCTCTTGACCCGTATTACAGCTCCTTTGGAGGTTCTCTGCTCTTCTCTCTCTCCTTACCTCTAAAAACCTCTGTGGGTTTTGCTGCTTATGTAAGCAAGTTCCTTATCAATTCAAAGCATGGCTTTCCCATCACCCATCAGAATCACAAACTGACCAATCCCGCAAATCACTCAGTCCTACTCCGTGGTTTTACGCACCTCTATTTGCATTTAGAGCCCTGGTGGCGCAGTGGTTAAGAACTACAGCTGCTAACCAAAAGGTCGGCAGTTTGAATCCACCAGCCGCTCCTTGGAAACCCTGTGGGGCAATTCTCCTCTGTACTATAGGGTCGCTGTGAGTCGGAATCAACTAGATGTAATGGGTTTTTTTTTTTTTTTTGCATAGGAAATCGACCGATCCCTGCAAGATGCATAAAATAGGGCAAACTGTTGTCCAACCAGTCATTTTTGGCAGACTTATAAAGCCCAAGGCCATATATAAATAGAAAACTATTGCACTGCACATGGTTTCCAAAATTCATTTGGGGTATGGGCAAAAAATAGTGGAAGACATGGACCCTTCCTGATCTCTTAATCCCAGGACCTCTCTGACCTCATATCCTTCTTGCCTCCTTGTTCACTTACTCTGCTGGAGCCATCAGGCCTCTTTCCCTCTTCCTGGAGCCAGAATCCCTAACTCCTCAGGGCTTTGACATGGCTAGTTTCTCTGCCTGGAACTCTGTGGTCCCTCACATGTGACATATACCCTTCCTCCCTCAGCTTTTTGTTCTGATATCACATTCTCAGGGTAATCTTCTCTGGCCACTATTTAACATTCCAGCCACACCTTCACCCCCACCCCTGGCCCATAATGCCTGCTCTGCATTTTTCTCTCTGCTCCTGCCCCTTGCAATGACTGAATCCAGGTGACAGCACAGCCCCAGGGGATAGCAGAGTCATAGGTGGAAGATGTGCTTGGCCTAGCTCCTCTGAGCAGGCTCAGCCCTGGCTGCACACTGTACTGCTGAGGCATTTTGCAAATACATCGCTAGTTCACTTTCCTGTCCCCCAGAGAGTCTCTCTAAATAGTCTAGGTGTGACCTAGCCTCAAGAATGATTAACAGCGCCCCAGGCCATTATATTCTGGATCCAGCTTTGAGCACTAAGGCTCTGGGTCCTCCATTTCTGTGTCTGAGACCAGTCCCTGTTCCAGGGGAAGTGAGGGGTGTGGGAGGGGATCTGTTCTGCTTGGCGTTGGTGTCTGGGCCAGGTCTGTGATATGAAGAGGAGGTCAGTCCAGCCCAAATCCCCCTGCTGCAGCAGAGTGTGGGCTTCACCAGGAGAGAGGGCGATAAACTCATCTGTTGGTCTCCATGTAGGAGGTTATTGTCCGAGTCCCTCCTGGGACAGTGGACAGCAGGGACCGTCTTTTCCCATGGTGAGGTCCTCCCTGTGTGTGTGGTTGTGGTATGGGAAGGGAGTGTGTTCATTCTAAGCATTTAACAGCACATTGTTGACACTCAGGATTGACTTGTCAAGACTGATCTTACCTGAGAATGAAGCCCGGAGGAAGAGGAAAAAAAGAGGCATCCAGAATGGCTCTTTCCCAGGTAACAGTCATATTCTCAGTTGGTAGCTCTGTCTTCTTCCTGAAATGCTGTCCTGACAATTTGCTCATCCCCTCTGACTCGCTCACACTCACTGAGGGCCTTCCCTCAGTCCCCTCTTACTTCCACACAGATTCCATCTCACCGTGTCCCAGTGACATGGACTTGTGAAGAGGCTCCATTTGGGGAACATCATGGGAAGGGCTTCACACCAGACCTATGTGGGAGATGGGGAGTGGGCCCCGTGGGGGAAGTGATGGTGGGCAGTAGAAAGGGGTTATGGCATCCACATGTCCTGTCAGCTTTCTGGCCCAGCATTAAAGCAAATGCACATTTACGTGCTGTATTAATCTGCAGGAACAGCTGAAAGTTCTGGAAAAGAAGATTTATAATAGGAAACTACTCTGCCTTATTTTATAATACATTTGAAGCTAAGCCAGTGAATCTGTGTTACTGATTCCAAAATATTAATGATTTAAAATGGAATGGAAAGTTCTGTAACAGAAATCAGGGGTAGAGGATGCTTTATTCCATAATCAGTTTTAAAATACGGAATCAACCTACATGTCTAACAGTAGGAAGCTCTTTAAATCATTCACAATACGTTTGCTGGAAAATCAAATCCCAGTTCTTACTTCTCTGATATCAAGTGTGTTGATCAATGCAAATGAAGCTTTAATCTATTCTGTTCCCCTCTGTTTCACTTCTTTTCTGACACCAGCTGCATATGTAGCACTTATTCTTGTGACCCTAACCACCAAGACGAGGCCAGATCTCACAAGTTAAGGACACAGTCCTCCAGACTGCCAGGTCTGCCCTAAACTTTAGATGCCAGGCAGAAACCTGAGAGCCTCTGTGGGCTCCCTCACTTCTGATCTGCTGGCTACAAGTCTGAGGATTCTCTTTACACCGTCAGGATATCAGTCGTATCTCAGGGGGTTCCAGCTCCCCTCACTTCTGACCTACTGGCTCCTACTATTCCCTTGGGTTCGATAATTTGCTAGAACGACTCACAGAACTCACAGAAAATGCTATACTTACGATTACTGCTTTATTATGAAGGATACAAGTCAGGATCAGAATAAAGAAGAACAAAAGAGCAAGGTCTGGGAGGGTCTCTATTCTTATTTCAGTTACTGTAAATATTTGTGTGTGTATGAGCACTAGCTTATATGCACGAGACTATGGTTTTTGTAAAACACACATAATTTTATAAGTAATTTGTATTTTTTTAACACTTGAAAATGTGTTGTAAATATTTTCTGTGGCCTTTGTAAAATACAATGTTAACAAGTTAATAGTACAAAGAATAGTAACTCATTATTTGCTTGCATGTCTGTACGTGCATATTTAACGACCTTTTACCCAATTCTGTGTTACTGGCTTTGAACTTCTTTCAGATTTTCTGTTTGGAATCTCTCTGTCACTATCCTTTTAATGCTGTATAAGTTACTTCACTGTTGAGTTGTTTAGATTCATTTCTAAAACCCATTCACCTGGATTCTGGCTCTGACACTGATTAGCTGTTTGACCTGAGGAGAGGTTTTTAGAGTGTCTGTGACAGAGTTGTCTCCCCTGGGAAGTGAGAACACATCTATTTCTCATGGGTGTTATGTTGTTGTATATAAGTTAATTCATGTCAAGCCTTTAGGATAATACTTAGCAAATGGTAAGTGTCCAAAAATTTTTAGCTTTTGCTATTATCTTCATCACCACAGTTTTTCTATTCTGAATTTCTTTAATGCCACAGTGAGCTTTGTCGTCACTAAAAACACCACTCCTGCTGTAGCTCAGCTGAGAAGCTGAATGTTATTTGGTATGCACAACATAAAATCTAGCACTTCTACATAGACCACCTTGTGGGAGTTCTTTTCATTTGTATATATATTTTATTATCCACAAAAATGAAATCCCCAGAGCTTTAATGGATTTCATATCCTCTAATGGAAAATATAATAAAACACAATTAGGGGCACATAAGTTGCTCAACATTATCTTATCCTGGCCTGTCAAAACTCTCAAATCAATTGAATTGATATGCATACTTTTCTTATTTTATTTTGTGTGAAAATAAGAGCTCTTCCTTGTCCACTTGTTGAGATGTGTTTCTCATTTCAGGGACTGTTGACATTCAAGGATGTGGCCATAGAATTCTCTCAGGAGGAGTGGGAATGCCTGGATCCTGCTCAGAAGGCTTTGTACAGGGACGTGATGTTGGAGAACTACAGGAACCTGATCTCCCTGGGTGAGCATAACTTCCTTGCAGAAGTAGGGATCTGCCCTGTGTATCTTTGCATTTTTCCTTGTGAGTTTCTTGTAAACCCTTCCTCTGCTTGATGGAGTTTGTAATCTGTGTTATTAAGGCAGAGATGGAGGTTGGTTCAGAAATCAAAAGCTTCTGAATGATCTTCGTATGATCTGCTTGGTTCACACTATGTCATTGCTGGTTGTAGACCTTAAGTAACCACACAAGCTTACGGCCAACTTTTAATATATCTGATTCTCTGGCTTTACTTCTGTGCTTTTGTTTGAGTAGTTGTTGCAGGAGAGCTTCATTATCTGCTTATTTAATACATTCCCTAAGCATTAAGAAGGAGGCAACAGTGGATGAGTTTCTGAAATAGTTTTCTAGAGACACCTGTTATGTTCTAAGCTTAACAAATGGCTTGGTTAGTATTCTGCAAAAGCTACCTTAACATCATTTTCCTTTTGTTGTATAAGCAGGAATCTCTCCTTCTGAGATGAATATTATCTCCATTTTGAAGAAAGGGACAGAGCTCTAGACGAAAATAGGAAAAAACTCAGGTAGTGGGGAATGTATCAAGATGTTAACAAGTGGTTAGATGTGTAAGAGGTCAGATGGTTAGAGAAGAAAACCCATTAAAGATTGTTTGGCACAACTCTTCCCAAATGGGAAAACACAAGTTAATTTCTTGTGAGCTCTCAAGTTTTTCTTCCCTACTCTTCCCACTCCCTCAGTTATCACTCTCTTCAGACGTGTAAAGTTCATCCTCCAGTGGTGTTCCAACTGAAGCGAAGACAAAGACGCAGTCTTTATTATGACCCACAGCAGACTGTTAGGTGGTCCCTGTGAGGTCTTTGGTGCCATGGCTTTGAGAGGGATGAGGAGGGCTATTTCAAAGGGGTCCTCTCGCCCCCTTGGTTTCTCCTTCTGTACTTGATTTCATCTCATTCTCAGTTCTCAGTTCTTGCGGGTCAGAGCTGAGGCCTCCATTATCCTGAACCACCTGTCCAGGTTCTCTTATCATTCCACATACTTGGGAGACCTTCTCAGGAGATGGCAAAACATTGCCAGCCCTTCCATTGCAGATGAACCCTAGGATATTGCACAAGACTTTCTCAAGACCTGTCTTGTCTGTTCAGACCCTCAATCATTTCTTCTCTTTTGGTTTTCTGTGCTATTTAAGGAATGTATGTGATAAGAGAGTAGGTCAGATATTCTGAGATTTTTACTCAGCGGTACTGTAAAGGCAGTAGACAGATACTCTTTTAAAATCCTAGTCCTACGTGGCAGCCATATCTCTTTGTCTTTCAGATTCTAAGTCTGTGCTCTATGGGCAGAGCACACAGCCCCTTCTCAAGGACCCCACCTTACTTTTACTCTCATGTCTTGTACTTTTCTCTTTCTTCCAGCTCTCTACATAGACTAGGAATTTTTAATAACCTTGGCTCTTCTTGATATTGTACTCTTCTCACTTTGTATGATTTTTCCTCTGAAACTTGCTTTTGAAGTACACATTCCTAGATTCTGAAATTTCACCCTGCTTTTCTGCTGTGATACCTTATTCTTTAGGTGATAGACAGTTTGAGGTGAACTTCCCCAAAGAGGGGGCTTACTGGGTACAATCAGTATGTAACAATATTATCCTGCTAAATACAGAAGTACCTCCTGAAGTCAGTGAGTAGAAGTGTCAGCATATCCCAGAAAGCTGGAATAGAAAGTATCACAAGAGCCAGACTGATAAGTGCTCCCAGGTGTCTCTGGTTTTTGCAGAGTGTCGCAGTGTCTCTCAAGGGCAGTGTGGCAGCATTGATGAAATAGTAATACTAATAATGATCATCTCCTTTGAGACTCCAATCACAGTTAGATGAGTTTATCTTAGGGGTAGCATTGTCCATGTTCACAACCTCCTAGCTATGAGGCTTTTGACCAACTATTGTTCATGCCGATTTGTTCATCCCATGTGTGTGCCTTTATTCATTTTCCTTCAACAAATACCCTTTGGATGCATAATACTGAGGGAACTTATGCAGTTAAATGATGCCTCCATTTTTTTAACTCTCCTGTAATTTATTTTCTTTTACCCCCTTAAGCAACTCTTACATTCGTCTTGCACAATTTCATGTTTTATGAATAAACTTGTTTTTTATTTAATCATCGGTTACCTATTTTTCATGATACTGTTAGTGTTCTGTGTGTTATACCTGCAGTTTGTGGGGCTGTGGGATTGAAGAGTAAGTTTTTGTTTGTTTGTTTGTTTAATCTATTTTGCAAGAAGATTTCCTAGGTGAAAGTGGAGTGTTATGAGTCACCATCCATTTCCCCAAAACCTATGAAACCTCCAGAATTTTGTTTAAACATAGTCTTACTTACTCCTTTTACTTTTTTCCACCAGACTTAGTACCTTCTCTCAAAGTTCACTTTTTCCACTTAAGTTAATTGAATTTTTACATTAGGAATTTTGATTATCCTCAGAATATACTTTTTACATTAAATTACTGTCTTAATCTGAGAGATACCATAGAATTGACATGCCATAACTTGTTATATAAAATACTTTGCTTTTTCTATTGTGTATTGTAAATTCTCAAAACATAGCTTGTTGACTTTTGTTTACATTTTAATGAGTTATATTTTTTGCTACAAATGCTTTATTAATTATTCTTGCCGTCTATATCATGGTCAGCTTGGTATGTCAGACTGATAATTAAAACAAGAAACTTACCAATTTTTTGCACTTTGTGTACTTCACCGTTGTTGCTTATGACACCTCGATTTTCAAAAAAACTGCTGAAGATCTGGAAATTACATTCTTCAGTTAAGATTTGAAGACTGATTTGTTCCCCATCTTCCTTTAAAGCTAAATTTAGTATACCAAAAAAAAAAAAAAAAACCACATTGCCATCAAGTCGATTCCAAATCATAGCGACCCTAAAGGACAGAGCAGAACTGCCCCATAGGGTTTCCAAAGAGTGCCTGGTGGATTCAAACTGCTGACCTTTTAGTTAGCAACCATAGCTCTTAACCACTATGCCACTAGGGTTTCCAAATTTAGTATTTAGTATATATATATATATATATTCCAAATTTAGTATTCTTTGTTGATTCAGAGCTCAGTGCTATCCTGATATTTTCTGACCATTTTTGGCTGCTTATGTTGCTGACCACCTCTCAGTACAGCGAACTCCTCCATGGGTCTCTGTGGAACACCCAAAAAATGTTTCTATACTTAACTGCTATTACTAACACTCAGTTTTCATTCTTTTAATGTTATTCATTTAGCTGAATATAATATTTAAAAATCAGTTATTCACGACATATTTTCTCTTTCTTATTCTGTTTCCTCCCTCTGGATTAGAAGTTCTTTCTTTTAACGGAGAATTCTTTATGATTCCACGCACTGTGATTTTGTATTTTTGTGTTTATTTATTAAGTACCTGCTGATTTATTATGGTTTACTAGATTGTTTTATGTATCGGTGTCATTGTGACTTTCAGATCTTGGTTTTTCAGTATCTGTTATGGAATATGGAGCCCTGGTGATGTAGCGGTTAAGAGTTTGGCTGCTGACCAAAGGCTGGCAGTTCAAATCCACCAGCTGCTCCTTGGAAACCCTATAGGGCAGTTCTGCTCTGTCCTGTAAGTCACTATGAGTTGGAGTCGATTAGACGGCAATGGCTTTTTTTGTTTGTTTGTTTTTAATTATTATTATGGAAGATAGTTGCCATGTACCAGTTATTATTACAAAATGCCTATTCTGCATAGGTACAGATAGTTTTATAAACACATCTTCAGAAGAATATTTTGTTATTCTGACAAAGATGTTTTCTTAAATTTTTCCTGATTTTGTTTGTGCTTTTTCTTGGTTTGCAATTCTGATTTTCAGTATCATATTTTATTTGCAATATCTTTTTCTGGTTTGCAATATCTTATTCATTAGATAACTTTATTCTGGATTATTTACTATTAAGTTATGTAAGTCTCTTCTTTAGCATTTGTTTGTGTACAATAATTCTGCATCAGCATGCATTAATATAATATTTGTTTTCAAATATGAGGCAGCCACATACCTATGCCACCTGGTGTGTGCTTTAAGATGGTGGTAAAAAAAAAATACACCTTCTCTTAGGGCTTACATGTATTTCCATAGCATGAGTGGTATGGTCATAGGGCATTTGAAACTCAACTTCCCTGAAAATGATTTGCAATACATGTAATCATCCTTTCTTTCATTTTTTTTTCCTGTCTTCTAATAATACTTTACTGTGTTTTTGTTGAAAGTTTACGCAGTAAATTATGTTCCTGTTTGAAAATTTCTATACAAATTTTTCAGTGATATTCATTACATTCTACACAGTATGTCAGCTTTCTCTTTAATTGTGTTCTGGTTCTTCCATTGTAATCATCTTTTCTTTATTGAGGAATTGTATTAACTTTGTGTTCCTAAACATTTGAAGGCCATAGTGGGAAAATTTCATAACTCTTCATTTTAAATATTTCTATTTTTCTGATGTAAAATTATGTTTTTCAATATGAAGTATTTTCCAACTTGTTGATAGGGAGCCTGTGATTCTTTATATCTTTTAGATGTCTCTTCTACATGTGTAATCAAGGAATTGTCACCAAAAGAGATCATTAATAAAGGAGAATTATTCCAGAGAATGATGTTGGAAAGACATGAAAGTCATGGCACCGAGGATTTTGACTTCAGGCAAGTCAGGGAAAATATGCATGAGTTTGAGAGTCAGTGTGGAGATGATGAAAGGAATAACAAAGGAGTAATTACAACCCATAAAAAAATTCTCACTGATAGAAGAGATCAACATGTAAGAAGAGATGTAGGAAACAAGTACATGATATGTATTGAAAAAAACATTGAATTAAGCTTTCATTCAAATCTGACTGAAATGCCGAAATTTCAGTCTGGAAGGGAAATGTATGAATGCAATCAAGTAGAGAACTCTATCAATGGTTCTTCAATTACACCACTTCAAAATATTCCTCTTAGTGTGAAAACCAACATTTGTAATGCATATGGGGATGTTTTCATGCATACTTCATTGCATGCACAACACCAGAAAATACACATTAGAGAAGAACCTTACAAATGTAATGACTGTGGGAAGGCCTTTAGCCAAAGGGCAATCTTTACAAATCATCAGAGAATTCATTCTGTGCAGATGCCTTATGAATGTAATGAGAGTGTCAGAGCTTTTTACTGTGGCTCAAACTTTACTAAACATCAAAGAACCCATACTGGAAAGAAACCATATAAATGTAATGTGTGTGGCAAAGTCTTTAGTCAAAAAGGACACCTTGCAGTTCATCTGAGAATTCATACAGGAGAGAAACCTTACAAATGTAATGTATGTTGCAAAGCCTTTTACTGTGGCTCAAACTTAACTAGACATCAGAGAATCCATACTGGTGAGAAACCATATAAATGTAATGTTTGTGGCAAGGACCTTAGTCGACCTTCAGGCCTTACAAATCATCAGAGAATTCATACTGGAGAGAGACCTTACAAGTGTATAGAATGTGGTAAGGCATTTATCCGAAGAACAAAACTTGTGGAACATTGGAGAATTCATTCTGGAGAGAAACCTTACAAATGTAATGAATGTGGGAAAGCTTTTACCCAAAGAGCAAACCTTATAGAACATCAGAGAATACATTTGATGCAGAGACCTTACAAATGTAATGAGTGTGGCAAAGCCTTTAACTCTGCTTCACACCTCACTAGACATCAGAGAATCCATACTAGAAAGAAACCATATAAATGTTACATATGTGGCATGGACTTTAGTCAAAATTCAAATCTTATAATTCATACAAGAATCCATATGGGAAAGAAACCTTACGAATGTAATGAATATGACAAGGCTTTTAGCAATCAATCAGTCCTCCGGGGTAATGAGAGAAGTCATGCTAGAGAGAAAAATTACAAAGGTAAAGAGCGTGGAAAAGCCTTTAACTGTGGCCCAAATCTTACTACACATCAGAGAATCTGTTCTGGAGAGAAACCATATAAATGTAATATATGTGGCAAGGTCTTTACTCAAGGTAAAAGACTTGCAACTCATTATAAAATTCATATTGGGGAGAAACCTTAACAGCATTATAAATGTGGTAAGGCTTTTACCTAAAGATCAGATTTGCCGAACATCAGACACTTCATGGTAGAGACAAACCTTACGAATGTAATAAGTGGCAAAACCTTTAAATGGGGCTCAGTCCTCACTAAACAACAGAAAATTTATAAGGGAGTGAAATCAAATCAATCTATAAGGCAAGTTGTTACTTAAAATTCACAGCTTGCAAATCATCTGAGAATTCATTCTGGAGATAAAACTTATAAATATATTTGGTATGCTTTTATCAAATGTTCACGTTTGAGGTCTGAAGAGAATTCATACTGGAGAGAAATAAGTGTAAACAATGTGGTAAATCATTTTTCTTATTTCACAGTTTATTGCACATCAGTTCGTACTAGGGATAAATAAATCTCTATAAAGATAAATCAGCCTCAGTTACATTCTACAGTGTAATTAAAGGTTGAATTCTCTTCAAACTCATGAGATGTGTGTCCAAAGGAGCAATGATATATGGAAAGATCCATCTTAATAAAATATTTTTCTTCAGTTATTTGAGGTTTCTTAAAAAGGCTACATTACTATTCATAACTTTCTCCCTAAGGTTTTAAATCTTGCCATTATGCCTTCATTACTGGCCTTTTACATGTTACCATGATAGTCTCCGGGGAGTGATGAAGGAGATGAAAGGTCTTCTTCATTAAGTGGGGATCATTCATCTCCATGTTCCTTAAAAGAACAGGAAGCCTGAATTTTAACATGCATTGTCGTTGTTAGTTGCAGTCAAGTCAATTCTGACTCATGGTGACCCCATGTATACAGAGTAGAACTGCTCCACAGGGTTTTGAAGGCTGTGGCCTTTCAGAAGAAAACCATCAGACCTGTCTTCCAAGGTGGCGCTGGGTGGTTTGAAACCACCAACCTATCGGCTAGTAGTGGAATGCTTAACTATTTGTGCCACTCAGGGACTCCCTTTAACATACATTGTGATGATAATTTGAATAAGAGTATGGAGAGGGGTGAAGAATCAATATAAAACAATTTAAATCATCATGATAAATGTGTTCAGAGCCACCTTTAACAGAGTGCCCTTGTGAGTTACAGGAAAGGATTATTCTACCAAGAGACCATGAAATAGAGCAGGCCAAGACATTGAGGGTCTGACATTTTCATGGGAGCAGATTGATAAATTATTAGGACAGTTCATGTGGTAGAAATACTGGAAGGCTATTGATGATCAACTCATTTGCATTGCAGTAGCTGCTGTATATGAAAGATGAATGAAAAATTAGTCTTGTTCTTGGAAACTGAAATGAGAGCCATTATTGGGGAGGGTTTAATCAAAAGAACCAAAATACAGTGTATATGTGTTGACTTCACATTTAACCACTAGCATTGCATTTTGCTACAGTTTTATTCAGAATGTATCATAGATGTTAAGGTTCCTGGTGCAAACAATTTGCCCTTGGCTACTAACTGAAAGGTTGGTGGTTCAGATCCACCCAGTGATGCCATGGGAGAAAGGCCTGGGGATCTACTACCATAAGAGTAGAGCCAAAGAAACACTATAGGGTACAGTTCTATGCTGAAGATCGTGAGGTTACCATGAGTTAGAATCAATTAACGGCTACAGGTTTGGTCTTTTTACTTTTGGTTATCATAGGTGCTGTTGTCTTCATTAATAAGCTTTAATTGTTTTTTTTTCTTCTGACCCTGAATGAATCACATTCCTTCTACCAACAAAATCATCTCACCTCAGTAGGATATTTCATAACAGACATTAACAATGCACCATTAGACTGTCACACTTAAATGGCATATATAACAATTTCTTTCCATGGTAGAATTAAACCGTATACAATTCTAGGAATATGTACTTTTAATTTGCACTTGAGTTATTATAATCTCTGCATTCTGTCCCTGCTTATATATGTGACTATAATAAAAATACAAAGCAAAAACAACCCACTGCCATTGCACCAGTTCTGACTCATGGCGGCCCCATGTGTTTCACAGTAGAAAGTCACTCTATGGGTTTTCAGTAGCTGTATTCTTACCAAAGTTGATTTCCAGGGCTTTGTTCCTTGGTGCTGCTGGGTGGATTCATACCACTGATATGGAGACCCTAAAAACTAAAGAAATATCTGACCAGAGTAAATGAAGCTAAAATAGGGTTCAGGTTTGAAATCTATTCTATGTAAGAAAAGTTGTGAAACCAGGTCTGCATGTTAAGAAAATGTTTTTTTCCTTGTAACTAAGCCAAAACCTAATGTTGCCGGTTTATTTCCAAGGGGCTTTTATGTAGCTATGACCACTCTGTGAACTCTTTATGGTAACTAAGTGGCAACTAACCAACAAAGCACCCATATCACTAAGTAGTAGCTATCATACCTCACCAAGCACCAGTCAGAATTTTATTAGCTTGTTTCCAAAGGAGCCTTAACACAAACAAATCATCTCTACCATTTGTTCCCAAACAGTCCTAAAATAAAACTTGTAACCACTACCAATCAATGTAATGTCAGTAGGTAGGTAACTCATCAACAAAACGTGTAAACCAATCATTAAAGTATAGTTTGTTATTCTGCCTTTGACAATGATGTATCTTGACTTCCTTCTGTAACAGTATATTAGCTGCTTCCTAACTGTAATTCAGTGGACTCTGCTAGCCTCCTGTGCCTACTGCACACTAGCAGAATCCTCATTACAATTATCATCTTTGTCTCGGCTTAATAAAAATCTCTTTTAATTAAATTTGAGTCTAGGGTCTTTTCCCCCTATGACACCACCAACCTTACAGTTAGTAGCTAACCACAAACTGTTTGTGCCACTTTGTCATACTCTGAGTCCCTAAATCCAGCTTCACTATTCATCGATATGGACTGCATGATTATAAATATACATGCCCGTTTTTTTTTTTGTTTGTTTGTACCTAAATAGGACCTATGGCTTGCATTGGCTTTGATTTCCATGTGGTGAAAAATGAAAATGTATTAAGCATATGGAAAATGTTAGATAATAAAATATCAAAAACAAGGGTGAGAATAATTTTATTGTCCTTGGAGCACTCACTGAAATAATTTGAAAAGATCAATTTAATGAGTTTTCCCCTAAGAGCGAAGGTACAGAATGGTGGTCTTCTAGATAAACAAACAACGTACTCACCACCCAAAACATTTTTATTAATTTCCACTGCTAGCCAGTCTACAGGAACAAAATGGATTCTCTATTTTCCTAGGACTGTCATAACAAAATACCACAAACTGGGTGTCCTGAAACTATTCTCAGTTTTGGAGGCCAGAAGTGCAAAATCAAGATATCAACAGTGATGGTTCCTTCTGGCAGACTCTGAGAGGGACTGTGTTGGAGTGGAAGGAACTGTCTAAATTCATGATGGTTAACCAGGATCAGCACAGAGCTGGTTCCTATGAGGTGGAGCTCAGACACACCTCCACTCTCCAACTTCTTCACCATTTCTGACACCAGCCATACCCCCAATGGCCCTCTTTTTCTCTGTTGGGTTCTATAATTCATTACATTGACTACACAGAGCTCACAGACCATACTCAAAATGATGTGGTATTTTAGGAAGTAAGAGCCCACAACACAGGATCAGGAAGCACATAGGCAAGGTTTGGAAGGCTCCCACAAACTGGAGAGCACATCCCTCCATTATTCAGTGCAGAACAGCTTCCAACCAGGACGTGTTTCACAGGGGCTCTCTGCTGGCAGCTGTCTTGGTTAGCAAGCCACTCTGCTGCTGAGTGGCCCAGCTAATACCCGGTTTAGCAGCCCACTCAGCTCTCTTGGCTGCTTTCTGCCATCTAGCCTCTTTGTTGCTAAGCGGCCCAGATCGTGGTCAGTGTAGCAGCCTGCTCAACTGTGCAGGCCCTCTCAGCACTGCTATCTTGCCGCAAGCCCCTTCTAGACCTCTCACCATCAGCTCTGCACCCAGTCCTCTCAGCAGCCAACTCTGCCACCAGGCCCCTTACAGGCCTTGCCATCTGCCCTGACACTGGCTCTTGTTCTTGAGTTTCCCTCTCCCCTCTCTCTACCTGTGAAAATAGCGTTGTGGCATCAGACCTCCTTTGTCTAACTTCACAAGGGGAAGGAGAGAGTCAAGATCAAGATCAGCCCAAGGCTGATTCCCATGAGCTGGAGGTCAGACATCTCCCTTTTTACCCATTCTGACACCAGCTGTCCCTCCCATGGCACTCTCTGCTTCTCTACTGGGTTCAATAACTCATTGCAGTGACTACACAGAACTCACAGACCACACTCACAGGGCATTTACTAGGGAAGTAACAGGTTACAATTAAGGATCAGGAATGACTCAGGATACAGTTCTTCAGTAAGGACATCAACTCAGCTGTGTCTGCAAGCAGGTCTCTTTCTCTCCCCTTGACTCCTCAGCCATTCAGCACCTGCCCTGCTCAGGCAAGTGTTACAACACCTTTTAGCTCCTCCAGTAAGTTCCTGGAGGCACCCCACTTCACCAGGAAGCCTCCTACCCAAAGGTGCTCAGCTCTCTAACTCCGTGGGTCAGCACACCCACTGTAGCCACCTTGCACAGTGGACAGGGAAACCCACCATACTGTCTTGTGCTGGTCTCCTTGTTCTGCTGCTGCTGTGTCTCTGCCACACTTACCGCCATCTCACGCCACCTCCAGTGTTAACAGCTCTCTGTCTCTCTCTGTCTCCTGAGTCTAGGAGGTTCTCAGTACAGGGACCCCAGGTCCAAAGGGTGTGCTCCACTCCCGGTTCTTCTTAATGGTAGTGAGGTCCTCTCTCTGCTCTGGAATTGGCTCTCTTTTTAAGACTAGTGAGATGGCAAAACTGACCAATCCCCTTGTTAGAGTTCCATACACCTTATTTGCATGGTCCCACCCCCCACAGGGATTCCATACACCTTATTTGCATTCTTAGCAGGCTATCCAATCCTGTTGGTGGGCCAGAAACACCTTATTTGTGTAGTCTCACCCAATCATTGGGAGTTACAAGACTATGCATAGCTAAAAGGACCATAGTAAGTAATTCACTGTACCACTCTACCTCTGTGGGGTTGACCACTTATATAAGCAAACTCGTCAATTTCAAGTCCTCCCAGCAAGACTACGAACCGACTAATCCCCTTGGTGGACTGCAAGTCTCAATCTCATTGAGTGATTTTATACACCACCTTTCTGACTACTAAATCAACCAATCCCATTAAGGTGAATATAATAGACCAATCACAGGGCACACTGCTGCTCAGGGCCAGACAAAAATGTCAAACCAAGTTGTTTACAGCTTTCCCAGGAAAGACAGTCACCCACAAAATACCCTCGGTAAAAGTAACAAAACTTCTGGGATACAGAACAACCTAGGAGCACTCCCTTCCCACCTCCTGCCAAGTTATTTTTCCAACTTTGTCACTCTTCAGGGCTTAGAAGGAAAAACCTCCCAAGCTTTTTCCAAAGAACCAAGGCAGAAGGCCCCATAAATAAACTCATTTCACCAGAAGGACCTTGGGTTTTTTCAATTTTTCTGCATCAATTGGTATGTCCATGTGATTTTTTTAACTTATCCTGTTGCTGTTCTAGATTGCATTACTAGCACATAATGAATCAGCCTTGCAATGCCTGGATTAAATACCACTTGGTCATGATGTGTTGTGCTTTTCATACACTGTTGGATTCTATATTGCCACGACTGCATTTTAAAAAAAAGGGCAAGGTGGGCAAACCCTACCATTATCACTGAGTGGAAAAGATCAGCATGAATCCAATTCCCAGG